GAAAATTAGCTCTATAGGATTTTTATATTATTATTATTATTATTATTTATTATTATTATAAATAAAATTAAAATATAAAATAATAATAATGAAAAGTATAAATAAAATAAAGCAATAACATAAAAAAGTTCTATAAAATAAATTAAATAAAAATTAAAAATAAAAAAAATATTCCCAGTCTGCAACAAAAACTGTCCCTGTCGAAAATAGGGATATTCCGCCAAAAGACGTTAAATTCAGTTTCTTCACCACGAACCTTGGTACGGGCAACACGTGTCCCAGTTCTTTCTGTGATATGTCTTGTAATACTACGTAGTAAATTTCTCCCTTCTATCACATGTACAATAAAACAATTGCAATCTAAAAATACACACACCAATACACACAAAAGTATAAATAAATTGATGGAATTAAAATAAAATTTAACGTGCTTTTCCTCTTATTTCTGTACGTTTTTTTTCTGTCAAGTCTGCTTTTATCTCCGTAACACAGTTACTACCATTGATGTACTTGCCATATCTATGGAGGAGCGACTGGCGCCATCGTTGGGTCTCTACAATAATACCATCACCCTCTGTGTAGAACTGTTTTCTGGATAAATGTCACCTGAAAGATCCAAACAGAATGAACAAAGTGTTTACCAGGAAAATCTTTTTGTAGCACCAGTTACCCGCTTACAGTGGTCGAAACCGCGGGAATCGGGGTATTTATTTAATGGAATCCTTGTATTACTATTTTTAGCATCCCTCTGTGACGTTACCCGGAGACGAGCTCGCTGATAAGTAGGGTCTTTGAATGTTGATGATTTATACTTGACACTGGGCCAGACTAGTTTTTGCAGTACCTAACTCTTCAGCTGAGAAATCTGTCTGAAGAAAACTATCATTTTTGACCAACCTGCATCCGATCAGATGTATCACTCTCTCCGTATTTATCAGTTTAACAATGTTGACCGCTGTTGAAGGTTTTCCCTACGAGATAAATGTCAACGACGAGTACAAAACTAGGCAAAGAGGTTGACAATAGATTGTCAACTGAAAAAGAAAAAAAAACACTTTACAAAACTTTACAAACCTATTTCAAACAACCTGAACTTAAGGATAGACACTAAACTAAAGGTTTATAAAATTACCATGCTGCTCTGTTTGCACGTTGGTGCCAAATCTTGGATCAGATACCAGTGCTAACTACATCACCAGTTATCAGTCCTTCATTATGAAACGTGCGCTGAAACGTCTTCATCATAAATTTCAAAGTTTTTAAGAGTGTCCAGTACGTTTAGCATCAAGACACGGAATCTATCTATCTATCTATCTATCTATCTATCTATCTATCTATCTATCTATCTATCTGTTTGCTTGTCTGTCTGCCTGTCTGCCACAGTTTCTTCTTATCTATCTATCTATCTATCTATCTATCTATCTATCTATCTATCTATCTATCTGTTCAATTTTTGAATATATTTTCCAATTTACGAATAAGCTGTATCCCAATTAACGTGATGTCACAAGACATTGAGAGTTTGAGCATACTAACCATAATCAAGATTTTCGATCACGCCTACTTTCAGGAACCGTAACCACAGTCCTCTCAGAAATGTGCCTGAGCAGGCGTATTCGTGCCATCCTAGCAGAAGGACATGCCCGGAAACGAGTAGACAGTTATATATACAGGATGAGAAGGGTAAATTATCGCCATTTTATTTGTTTTTCATTTCGCGCATGCGCATTGAAGTTTTTGATTTTGTCCACTGCACAGTATAGTAGGGTCAGTTGGGAATCATTTGTAAAAAAAAACAACAAAAAAAAAAAACAAAAACGACGCAATTCACCCCACGGCATGTTGTACTGCTTGGCATTCGCGCCGGAAACTGCAAAACGAACTTTTCAGAGTGTTTGGTCATGAATCTGAGGAGAGTGCAGAGGATTTGGAAATAGATGCATCAGTCTAATTGTCTAAAGGTATGGCAGCTCGGAAAACTCATTCTGATACTTCGGATAAGAAAATAACTCCCGAATTTGTTGGTGAGATCCAGGCCATGATTGACAAGCCCCCCTCCCAATGTCCATAGCCAGGGACACAAGAGTGTCTGATTTTGTTATTAGGCAGCTGTTACATGAAGATATTCGGTATTTCTCATACAAGATGAGAACAGGACAATTTTTATCCCAAGTCCCGAAGGACAAGAGAAAAGCTTGGGCTAAGAAGCTTTTGAACAAATTCAAGCATCCTCTCCAACCGAACATGCATTAGTTTTTCGCAGGCAAAAAAGATTTCGGACAGTATAAGATGATGGACACACAGAACAACTGTTGGCTTATTGTGTTCCCAAATGATGTACTGAGATTGATAAAAACCAACTCTCAATCTCCAGTTAACATCATGGTGTTTGACGTGATCACTAGTGATGGCGACCTTATGACGGCATTCATCTTCCCACAAGGCCTCAGACTCAAATGGAGGCCTACATCAAATGTTTTGAGGACGTAGTGCTGCTCTAGTTAAAGAGGGTGGCTACTGGAAGACCCTATGTCTGTCAACAGGACTCTGCATCATGCTACGAGAACCCAGTCATGTCCGTCGGACAATTTCTGTAACTACATCACCCCTTACACCTGGCAACCTAATACTCCAGACTGCACCCCCCTTGATTATTATTTGTGGGGCTTAGTTGAGCAAGAGACCAACAAAACTTCTTATAACACCAAAAATGAACTTAAGGAAATGATCTGGGGAATATGGAAGTTGTCGAACCTGGGAAATGTTGCACTTAGTCCAAAAACTCCTGCATAACCCATGATCAATGATGTGGAGGTGGGATGAGACGACCACACTCTCCACATTTTCCTTCAAATGATTGCTATAAACAACGGAAGAAGGGAGAACGTTATAACTTAGTGTGTATGCGCGACAAAGTTCCAGGTCGATATATGTAAAGCCGCTTCTCCCTGTGTACTTTACTGTTGCCATAACAATAATCTCCATACTTTTTGATCATATCTCGTATATACACACAAATTTCAATTAACATAGTATCAGCTAAACCTCGCATTCCTCTCTTTCATTTAGTTTTTTAAATGTAATTTTTTTTCTTCTCTATATGTAAAGATATATCTATCTATCTATCTATCTATCTATCTATCTATGTATCACTTCACGGGTCAACTTAATTTTACATTAAAGCTTTTTATCCAAACTTTACTCTGACAAATATTATTACTGGGGTAAATTACGTATATTGTTATTAAATCTAGAAAAGTCGCTTTAATGTATAAAGACGCCCGAAAACGTCTTTTATGGTATCTTTGTCCGGTTTATATGTATAGAATTAGTATATTAGTCATCCTTATAACTGTAATCCTCATGTAAATTACCATATTCAAATTAAGTGGTAATAAACTTTATTGGTAGTTAACTATTCAGGAAGTAATTTGCTGTTTTACACGGAAATTTCAAAATGTCTATGTCTCACTTATATGGTAATTGAAGGTTTTTGTCATGAAAACAATTTTAATGGATTTTATTGAGTGAAATATCAGCTTTAATGTACAGGTACACACAGAGAAATTAACAAAATATCTTGAAAAGGAATTTCAAAATGAATAAAGATCTGTGGGGAAAGCAATTTCAAAGAGATGGAAAAGTAACAGAAAAGAATCAAACATGAGATATAATAGTGATTAAACGACAGAAGCGGAAGTGGATGAGACGCATAGCAAGCAGAAAGGATAATAGACGGAGCAAAAGGTTGGTTAACCGAGGCCTAATGAATAGAAAACTGAAAAGCAAAATAACAGAAAGATGATGGGGTGGTCTCGAGAGGATTGCTTGTAAGCACAGTTAACATCATCATGGAAGATGTTGCGGAAGGCATTTGAGTAAACAGCCTAATCAAAGTGGCTGATGATGTCGTTCGAATCAACGTATCTCTCACTAAGTTACTATACCATATTAAATTCATTAAATTGTAGCATAAAATTCAACATGATTAAAGAATAGGCTGTAATATTAAACTTGGCTTAGTGTGGCGAAATACCAGATAAATTAGGGATTCGATTGAAAGAAGACTATGTGGGATTATATGAAGTGAGGTAGTCTACCGTGGTTAGAAATATAAGCATTCAAATATCTTAAATTGTACCTGGGCTCGAACACCGACCGTTATCCTCGGTGGGAAAGTGCAACTAATTCAGTAAACAAAAAAGCGTCCAGTGTGGTCTTCACGCTTGGCAGGTGTTCTCAGTTGTACAAAATTATTTGTGACAAGTAGGAGTTATTTGGTATAGACATTTCTTTTTTTTTTTTTTTTTTTTATCTCAGCGGCACCAAGAAAGAGTGGCAAAAGTTCCATAAATATATTTGGCTCCTTTGGTCATCAAAAGTTTCCTCCCCTCAAATGGTAAGTTGCGGTAATAAAATAAGAACTCCAACCCGCTTCATTACAAGAGCGAAAACTTTTCCAATATCCCTAGGTTAGCAACCAAGGCAAATGACTCTCGGGAGGTTGCCACCGAAAATACATTTCCATATGCGAATGTATTTTATTTCCTCGCTCGTGGAAGAATAATTTCTAAGTACAATATTAATGACCGACCTAGAATCATTCGTGTTGGTTTTAGTACATGATGAGATTATCTTATACGCCATCAACACATAGACATTTAATTTTTCTAAGTACTGTCAACGAATAAACTTTCTTCTCTTAGTCAAAATATGCATGCATATTGCATTACGTCGAACTTCACAATCGTCTCGATTTCAGAACAAAGAGTTGAAAGTTCAATATAAACAATAGTATATTTCTTCTGCTACGGAAAGATTCATGTGAATCAGGATTTCTCTCTTTATTAACTTTCTATAGACCTTGAAACAACGGTTTCCGTACTATCACAAAAGTTAAGCAACGTCGAGCCTGATCAGACTTGGAAATACCAGGTCGTGTAAACTTGGGCGTGCGGGTGGTTTAATAGATAATGTCTCCTATTCTCGTTGGGTTCATTATATTTACTTATGTGCAAAAACCTTTTAGAAAGGCATGAATCCACCTCGTCTCTCTCTAGCTATCGGTTAATTAGCAAGACTTGTATCACTAAACCATTTTATCTCAAAAAATTCTTATAATCTAAAAATATTTCTGGCTTTAAATAACCAGTATAAAGTGTTAATAAGCCATAGGAAACGAAGGCAAAACTTTGTTGAAATCGTATAAAATGATGAAAACTGATAGATTTATTTACATTATAGTTGCACATTGGCGATACGTGACTGATCTAGAATTCCGACAAGGCCTCCAAAGAAAGTCTAAATTTTCTTTTAATAAAATTTCACACAGAAAACCCGCGAAAGCTTTCATCTTTCATTTTAGTTTGGTACAAAGGTAGAGTAGCAGAAGACAAGATATCGAGTGGATGGACTACCAAGTGAACTTGATAATTTCTAAGCCATAATGGAAACATATTTTGTGAAAGTCAGACGCAGTTCATTATCTCGGCTGATATCTATGAGGAGATAAGGAAACGTTCTCGAATCGAAGTTCGGGATAAAATTAGCAAACGATGAATGTATTATTATATTTTAATATTTCTTTTTTTTCTTTCTTTGTTTCTTTCTATTCTCTTATATACACTGAATCAGAATATTAGATTTTATTATACGAGTCAATATTTTCACAAAAACTTGGTATTAACCGACCAATATTGATAATATCCTCGAAGCATATATATATATATATATATATATATATATATATATATATATATATATATATATATAAAGTATGCTAAAGCTAAGCTAAAGCTTAAAATATGAAATAAACCGAAGGCTCAATGCTAAAATCGACAGAGTTAAAATATAATATACCATATTATAAAAAGTAATATTAAATTATTTTATCCGCCTTACGCTTGTGTGCATGAAGTTCTGAGTAGTGGAGTTTGATTACCATCTTAATATTAACTTGAAGGTAGTTAATGATATTGTAAAGAAATATATATATATATATATATATATATATATATATATATATATATATATATATGATAGTGTTCATGATAATATATTTTGATTTTAGTAATGTAAATATTGCCACCGATCGCAAGTTATAGTTACTAATTAACAAATTACTTGATATTATAAAATTATAAGATATTATTGCTAAAATAAATATTATGATATTATAAATATGATATTATAAAATTATAAGATATTATTGCTAAAACTATTCTACGTAATTTTTACATTGTAGTATTTTCAGTCTCTTCATGTGCGCTCCCAGTTACGGACACAAGTTACATGGCTGTCAGGCCTGTTATAAGTATCGACAATTACAGAAAGTTGCTTGATATTTGATATTACACTAGACTGATTTGATTTATATTATTTTGGATACAACTGACATTTTTCCCCATTAGTATTTCATTTTAGTTAAAAAATTTTCCCAAAGTCTCAAGTTTCTAAATTAAAAATTTAGTAGCACTGGTCTTTAAAAATTATCCTTAACTATAAGTCCATGTCCAAGTGCCCAGTCGATCATTCTTTGTCTCTGGATAAGAGATCGTTTCCAGAATATATGCAGGTGGATGTGGAAAGTGGATGTCTTTTCCAAGCTGAAATTCGAACTCAGATTGCCGATTCTGTTTTCCATGTAGATAACCGTTAAATTCTCAACACTTACTCATGAGTTTAAAGGTCTCCATAGCAATAACTGCGATTTGAAACATGCAATGAATATATCAAAGTAATGTATTAGTGGCGTGATCTTACAACTTTTCTTTTTTTAATTACTAGTTTTATTTTCTTGTGTCATCATTATGAAATAAGAGGAAGATGACAACGATTAGGAACAATAAAATACAACGCTGTAGGCGTGTAAAAAGCCATTATCCAAAATCGTGATAACATATCTTTTAAAGTAAATCAATAAAAATAAAACACACACACACACATACATACATACATACATACATACATATATATATATATATATATATATATATATATATATATATATATATATATATATATATATATATATGTATATATAAAAAAAGATAAAGGGGAAAGAGGAGTGGTTCGCTACACATATCAATCTAAATATCTTAATACACTTTCTTTCGCTTCATATATATGTATATACAAACGCATACATTCTTTCATTATAAAAATGTTATTTTGCGATGTGAAATATATATATATATATATATATATATATATATATATATGATAAATGTATGTACTTATTATATTTCTATTATAAATTATATATATATATATTTGGGTAATATTTTAAATATATTGTTATGTATACATGAACAAGATATATATATAGTTTAGATTATTTTAGCAAATCTATCTATTTATCTCTATATTTACTATCTATCCCATTCTGTTTATTTCTTTGTTTCTTTCTTTCTTATTCTTTTCATCTATCTATCTATCTATCTATCTATCTATCTATCTATCTATCTATCTATCTATCTATCTATCTATCTATCTCATTAG